TGCCATATACCCCGAGCGATTTACGGTTTAGTGCCTTTTAAGTAGCATGTAGTACAGCTTCAGGTCTGATCTGGATAGACTGCGTTATTTTGAGTGGGATTCTCTTGTTCTGGTAGCCAGTTTGTTTTTGCGTTATTTCTGCATGGATGATCCCAGATTATACTGAATTTTCCGGGCATCGCATCCAGTCATCTCTCAGATTTTGATTTTAAATCGTTGTGTTATTCTAATAAGGCAAAACGTTTTTTGCAGTTGTTTCTAAACATAACTTTATGATGTCTTCTTTTGATTGCCTCTTTATAAAGCTTGATCCTGCGGCCATGGACCGCAAATGTCTGCTTAACAAATGTTGATATTTCAGTAAGGCGATGCAGTTGGTCATTCTAGGAAATTCATAATCCCAAGTTTTTACAGTACTTTTCTTTTTGCAGTTTCAAGTAGGTGGCTAAGATCTCAATATCAGTATGCAGTTGTTTTACCTTTTCTTCTAATCCCTTTTTCCATTGTGGAAGTTGCATGCGATTTTGGCTATCAGTGTTTTTTGCTTAGTCACTTCTGGTAGTTGTTGAATATGCTTGGATGACTGTAATATTTATTTCATTGGTTCATTTAATCCAGCGGCATTTCTTGATTATCGGGGTTTCATGTGTGTGTCTTCAAGATTTACCAAACATTCTTGCTCAACGGATTCAGGTACGTTCTCGTTCATCGGTCATTCCCTCTTCACGATAGCCATGCGTCGTGCGGCCCCACAGCTAATCACATTTGCTACTGAGCTTCCACCACTGTGGAGTTGTCGCTCTCTGGCAACTCCACGGTACGCAGTAGCAGAATTGACGACAGATCCTGTGAGTACTTCTGCGCCAAAGCCCAGTTCATCCTGTCCAAAGACCGATGCATTATAAGTATTCTTTGATTTTTTCTTCATTGTGATCTCCAAGATAGACGTCAAATACTTACTATTGTTTCTGTTGATCGCAGTTAGTCTGGCCTGTCGTCGCAAACCAAGTACTTGTGTCCCATCCAAAAGTCAGTTTTCGCTGGCTGAGCTTCGAGGTTCATAAAAGCACTGAAGCTTCATCATCAAGACAATGCTGCAACCACGGCAGAGTTTATCATATCGAGTATTATTATTGGCATTATTGGTGTTACAAGTTGATTTTTGGTAATTTATCCTACAGTTTGTGATATTATTCATGAACTGAACTGGGTAATTATTGTTGAAAAATAGCCTAAAACGGTTTACTTATGCACAACGAAAAAGATACTGTGGTCAGTCTGGTGACTGAATAATACCGACGTTACGGCCCGTGTCTCACGGGCCTTCTTCTAGGCAGGTTGTTGGTGAAGTTTCGTGAATGTGATTGGTCGTCCACAGTAGTCGATAGTTTCAGAGCCAGAAGGCAAGCTTTCGATCCTTGCTGCTGGTTAAATAGTTTTTGAATGACAGAGACGAGATTCATCCAGTCCGTACAGAGTTCGTTTCCTTCGTCACGGTTGACGTTTTCACAGGACCGAACGATTAAGTCTTTTATCCGCCTGTGTAGCCAGTTTCTGTGTTTGATGATGCCACTATGCTCAGATCATCGGGGGAATGTCCTTGCTTGACCCATGGCGCATGCTGCACAATCCTGGAGATATTCTCACTTGTTCCTTGACTTCGCTGGAGGCGAGGCTTTGTTTTCTTCTTGGGTGCTTCGTCTACCTGTTGTTTAGGCTCGTCCGCCATCGTCCATCTTCTCCAGCTTGAAAAGTGGGTTTTTATTCTTTGGGTGACGGTATTCCTTCTTTCTCTGTGTAATATTTCCCGCAGTTACACTGTAGTTTGTAAACTCAGCCTAAGAATAATTGAGTAATTCTTAAAATTATTTTATAACGCATTAAGTTTATTAGAGTTTTTATGTAAAACATTAATATTGTTTAATGTTAAGTAATCTTGATAGCTTTTCTCTAGTTTTTTATGATATGGTTGAATTAAGTAAGTTTTATCATTCGTCTTGTTAGTGTTGCAAACAGATTTAAGTGGCTTATTCTACGGAAGCGAATTTAGCTTGATAGTCGTTATTGCGTAATGTTAATTTGGTACACTTTATTTCGTCTTTAATGGACAGAGCTTCACCGCTGTCTGTTAAAGCTGTAACCACAGAAACTTTATTGTTTAAATGACTATGTGATTTGAAGTTCAGATATTTGTCAGTGTTAGTAGTTAAGACTCGAGTTTGATAGCAGTTACCTAAGTTAATTATTAAGGCATCAAAAAGTAGTAGACTGTTTGTTATGAACAAATAGGAGCATCGACGGGTGCTTCATTGTACCTGGTGTAGGAAAGGTTCTGGAGAGAAGTCGATTTAGTCGATTTGATAATCATATCGTCTGATTACGACGCTTAAGAGACAGATATGCCGACCGAACACCGCCTTTTTATTGACACGCTGTAAGAGATGAAGCACTATGTGTCTTGATGGCAGAAACAACCAGAGAATCAAGAGGTAAACATTATTATTGGGCGAATACGTTAGTGAAACTTGCAAACAACATCGCACATGGCTTGAACAGATCCCGGCGATGACCGTTGATATGGAAACCGACCAGAAGCTGTTTTAGATGGCTTACTCTGGGCTACCGCGGAGTGCGGTGGTTTCAAACTGGTTGGCCTTCTTCGTAGAGGTGGACACGAGAGGTACAACTGGCTGTTAAAAAGAAGGCTGCATTCAAAAAATGGCTTGGAAGCAAAGAGCCTTCTACTTGCATACGATATTTAGAAACGCGCAAGGCGGCAGCGAAAGCCAAAGCTGTCTCCTGGGGGAAGTTCTATCGGGTGTTGGAGTCGAATTTCCAGATGGTAAACATGGAATTCTGGAAGACCGTCCGCCAGCTCTGCGGTGAATAAAACTGCAGTCTCAGAGGCGTGAAGGAAAAGTCTGAACACCCTCTTACCGAGAATCAGGACAATCCTCCGAGATGGAGGGAGTACTTTGATAACTCTTTAACCCAGAGCAAACACAAGAAGACTCGCCTAAAGAGCAGAGGGGAACAGATATCAGTCATCATTCATTGGATGAAGTCACACAAGCTGTGAATTGTTTGAAAAGTGATAAGCCTGTTGAAATCGATGAAATTCACCCTGATATGCTTAAAGCATTAGGCTGACGGGGCATTTGCTGACTTTCACATGTCTGTCAAAATGTAGTGGCTACTGGTAAACACCAGCGCTCTGGAGAACGGAGGTTTTAGTACCCCGGTAGAATGGAGACTATGCGTAGTGCTCCAATTATCGGGTCAAGTATATTGAAAGTTTTGAAACCGTTTTAACGTCAGGGTGCACTTTTGACCAGTCGATGGTGTATTTTCTGTAACTGTGTGCTGACCCTGTCAAAGCCAGTTCATCAATTTTTCAAAGATCAGGTGCAATAGTTAGGTGAATCTGTCACATGTCTCTCGTCGTTTTGATATTGTTTTGCTTATTTCATTCCGTTCCTGATGTAATTCATTTCAGATGCTGATGACATGGTCTGTCTTGTCCCAGGTGCCCTATACCTCGCCGTCACCATGTTGTCTGACGAGCTGCTGAAGCGTGGCGGGGCTATGCTTCTGCAGGACTTATTCGAACGGTATCTGAACTGGCCGAACATTCCATTGGAAACGCGTGAGATCATCGGCGAAAACAAGCCTCGGTTTGTTAGCTTCCTCGAGTTGTTTCCTTGGGCGTTTTCGACGTTTCCCAGCCGCGTGTTCGTGAGTGTCCGCCGCAGACTTCCTTCAATCGCGTATGCGCAATTCTTGCTGGAGAACTTCGGCGATGCCGAAGGCAGTCGCTTGTTTACGGCATATGATCTACCGAAGAGGATTTTGCAACCACAGTCATCTCCTCGGTTGTGTGGTTATTATCCGCATGTTCAGTGCGCACCTGCCCTGCAGTGTATCACAAGGACAAGATCGGAGCCACGTGGTAAATCTTTGGTTATGCATAACAAGTACTTATATATTGAAAACTCATTATTTCAATGCAGGTAGTTCAACCAATTTCACTCACACTAATGTTTTGAGGGTGAGGGGAGGGATATGTTAACGAGGCAGTGACATGTCGTGAGGTTGTAATTAATGAGCAGTTTACGAATACGACCGCGTCATAAAATGTACAACAGAAGTGTAAGACATTGGAAGCTGAGTTCAAGAGTTTCTTTAGTTTAAACCTGAAATTGACTTATAAAGGTAATTTAAGCCTCGAAGCTAAGCCGCGTTCCATTTAAGCAGGCTGTGGATATATGACGTTTTATTTTTTGCGTTATTTTAGAAGTGTACTTATTATATGCTTTGGCAGATACGTAACATATGCACTTTTAGGTTGTTGGTTCGACAATGGTCCATCATGCTCTCCACGTAGCGTCGGGGTCGTGAAACCGTCAGAAAACTTCTTCTTTCCAAACGATTTCAGTACCTCGTCTTTGAGCAGTATCACGCATTCCATAGTTCCAATAATGAATAGAAAGGTTATTCCGGAACCACTGAAAATCCCTCCTCAGGAAACGAACGGTGCTGAACCTCTGTTTTGGAAATCTTATGAACTGGGAACTGAGAGCTTCGTCAGAAACGTGCTGACGGCCGTTTCAGATTCGGCTAGCTGCGTAAATGATGACGTTTTTCTTAGGTCGGATGGCATCACAACTGATGCCAGCTGCCAGACAGATTCTGAAGTTGAAATTTCCGTTTGTACAAAATGCCGTTCATCATCGCAACCATCCTACCGATCTATTTCTGTCCAGACCGGCGCTTCGGACCACGAAGATCATTCGACTTCCTCAGCGGCTGACGCAAAGGAAACAACGACGCTTCCTTCACCATTGGTTCCACATTCCGTTTGTCATCAATTCGTTGTTCCTGGTCACATCAATTAAATCTTCTTGTTGAAACAGGCACTGTTTCGTCTTCTCTGTTATTGTTGTTATTGCTTCCCAGTTGACAACATTTAGATGCTGCTAGACCCGTTTCTGACGGCAGTCTTGAGGTCATTTTGTTTTATGTCCTTTTGACGCATTTCTGTTGGCTAGCTTTACGGACAGTTGCTCAGTCAGTCTGATTAAGTTTCTGCTTCTGTTGTTCGTTTCTGCACTTGTTATGTCAGTCTGTTTGACCGTTGACATTTGTTAATGATTTGCTCACTGAAATGTTAATTATGGACTAGTTATCCATATTTTTGTGACCGTATATTTTCGAATAAATAACTAAACATTCCGGAGCTCAAACATCCTTATATTCGTTTATCAGCCTTCGATAAACCGCTGCTTCCGATGACATATCACCGAGTTCCCGCCACTGTTCTTTCGAGTCTTTCTTGTCGTGTTTTTCCAGCTAAAAGTAATGGTTAGAGCAAACACAGAAAACTGCATTGTATCTGATGAGCAGGGATATAATCATTTTAGAGGTATATAATAAAGTTCTTTTGGCGATTTTTATTTTACAACTTCTTAATACTTTTTAGGAAACGAATTTTAGGTATTCTTAACTAATGCTTATGAAAATTCGTCATTTTTGCTCAAAGATCTTTTAACCGACTACACCCAAGACTGGCTAGAGGAGACATGAAATGCTGTTCGATGAAGGGAGTTATAAAATGAAGTTCATGACAAAAAAAGCTGTGACTTAAAGGAGGCATAAACGAGCCAAAAAGGTTTAGTAGCTCATTTGACTAGTAGTTACCACACATAATCAAAACTTCAGGAAGAAGACCGACAGACTGCAATCTCGTATAAAAGCGAAAAAATGAAAGTTTCTGAAGTCATGACAAGGTTCAAAAATCATTCACTCGATATGCCCTTAGGAGCTAATTTTTTCGAGATCGATAAGTCACAACTGGCGCTACAAGCGATATAATGTCCAAGTACCTGTTTCAGATTCTGTTGTGTTATGATTTAAGAAACATTTCGTTTCTTTGTCTTCTTCAATAAACTGGCACTGCAATGGTTCTAGACACAACGAATGTTGGCCCTGAGGAATGCCAATGTAGTTTGGCTGAAACATCAGCAGTTTTTGTAAAGA